TGAAGATTATGAGTTGGATACAGTTAGTCGTGAGTTCGTTACCACAATCAACAGATTGCGTTTTGGTCACAACACTACACCCGCACACCTCGCTAAACTTAATATTATAGATAACAATGTTTGCTCTTTCTGCACTAACGAGATCGCAGATATGAATCATATTTTTTTTAAATGCCAAAACCAAATTTTCATTTTTAATAGACTACTATTAGCAAGTGAAATAATGGAAGTTAGTGATCCCTCCCGCCGCCAGTTGTGTGATTTGCTCAAAAACAAAAAGTGTTATAGTGCATTATATAAATACGTTAAAAATACCGTAGGGAAGATTTAAGAAAACAAGTGGAATGTTGGAATAAGAATAACATGTGAAATTAAATGAAGGAAAATAAGTGAAATTTAGTGACCGAAAATAAGACTTGGCTTAAAGGTCTCGTTACCAGGCCATAAAATTATTAAAAAAAAAAAAAAAAAAAATTCCTAATGTCACTTTTATAAACAAATAAAAGTTAAAACTACAATATTATTGTTAATTTGCAATAATTGCAAATTCCAATTATTGGAAGCTGCAAAAGGGACATTAGAATGTCAGCAAGGTCGGAACAATTTTCCATTTAAGTGGAATTTACGGAAGGTGTAAAGTGAATATATGAATTTTAATTGCATGTTTAAATTACTTATGGTTTGTTTCATGTTTTCTCAGAATTTAAGGCTACAAATAAATACAATATTTTGAAATTGCATAATCGCGATATATAATAATTAGTAGTACTCATACTTTGATATTTTTAGGATTTGACCTCACAACTAATCTGCAAAATGAAGAAGCAACATATTTTGTTACCGCTTAGAAGAAACAATAGAAATAGTACTGTGGATTGATAAATAAAGAGTGAAAATAAGGTTGACTAGAAGTTGATAAGGAATAGAAGGATAGTCCAAGAAATTAAAAAACAATAGAAAAAAAACGTAAACTAGTGTGAACACTGAAATTAGAGTTTGATTTAAGCTTTAATTAGGTTTGGTGTTTGTGCTTGAACATTTTTAATGTCAATTTGAAAGCAGATTTATATATAAGTGTAGATTTTATTAGTGATTTGCTACTAGTTGGAATTATCTCTGTTTATGTCCAACAAACAATTTTAGTTTAAGTTAGTCATAAAGGTTGATTGTTTATAATAAATTTATACTTTTAGAAAGTGAGAATTGAAAAGCAGCAAGTACTCAATGAAATGAAAAGAGAGATTAATAAAAATTATAAAATAGAAACTTAGTCTGGTATGAAATTATAAGCCTTACTCAACCTTTGATTCCATATTGATGCTCCAACATCTTAGATATAAATTTAAGTTTGATGCTGATTTTAAGTTAATATTTATGTCAATTAACTTTTGGTTATATCAGTGATTTGCTACTAGTTAAAATGTAAATGCAAAATCTGTTTAAGTAAGAAATTAATAAACATTGTATGTCTTCTTTAGTAGGAAAAGCCATTAAAGTGGTTAACAATATTAGTTTATTTTACAAGAATATACAGATAATGCATATATGAATGACCCGTACCTACTAATAGTTAGGAATATTAAACAAATAGGTAGCAAAATAAAAATGTTTCAGTTATGGTTATTTTTTATTAAAATAAGGCACCAAATATCTTCCTTAACATAATGCAGTCTACATAGAAAAATAAGCATATGTAACAACTTATTAAACAATACAGACATTACTACTGAACACACACAGGTGCACCAAATTCAATGCATTACTACCTAATGTAGATGTATTCAATTATTCATATTTATATATGTAGATAATTAACTAATAAATGTAAGTGTTAATTTGCAGCAAAGTCAATATCTTGTTTGTGTGCAATATACAAAAAATTGTTCAATTCATAAAACCTAACGTTAGATGTTGTGATGATTTCATAAAATTACTATGATACCTACAGTTACTATGAATACATCCTGGGCGATTAAAAAAACAGTGATTGTTTCCTTAACACAACAATTGTAAATAATAATAGTTATTTTAAAGATATAATTCTTCCCAAAATCTACAAATCCAGTTTGTTTATAATAATATCTCATTAACATTCAAACTGCTGAACTTATTAAGGTTAAATGTGGAAGAACATAGTTTCAGTTACTGTTTCCTGTTCATGAGGTAATGTTACTTAAACAACCATTATTTCATACTCCACTTGTCTTATTTTTTACATTATTCATAAAATGCTTCATTCCCCATTTTCAGGTACATAATATAACACTTAAATTAATTAAAAGATAAGACTTTAATAAAACTTGTCCATTTGTGGTTTTTTTTTAATATTTTTAGTTGTCTTATTAGCTTCTCTTTTTCTGAAAAGAAAATATTTTAGTTAGTACTTTGATCAAATAGAAAACTGACAAACTAAACTAAGATCGGTCCAAGGTTTGTTCAATAGGTAACTTTAATATTAAAACTCTTTACTTAATTCTAAACTTAAAAATATACTTAATTTGTCACTTTGCTGCTTATTGTCAATTAAAGTTTTTAATAACCAAACAATGTCAGTAACTCCCAAGGGACTTGATTTCAAACTTCTCATTCATTAACAATATTATAATAACTTCTCTAGTATATTGACTTAGTAAATAATTAAAGAAAATATCTGCTTACCATTACTTAGTATTGCTCACTAGATTTTATATTACCAAAGTTCATAAAGTATAAATCCATTTTATTTGATTAATTTAAATCAATATTATATCATTATCAGCTTCTATTAAAAATAAAATAAAATAAAATATGTTTATTATGGAACATAAGATACATGTATCACTTATTCCACGTCATTAAATTTGAAGGCATCCCTACTCATCGGCAAAGAAGACAGAGGGTGTAGGCCGAGAGAAAAAGCCGGCGTAAAAAACTCTCGGTACTCTTTTAAAACAGCAAATCATCAAACAACACTTATTTAAAACAAATATCGCAAATTGATTAGAAGTAGCCTGTCTAGCACTAGTCCCAGGCCCTTTTATCAACTAGATAATCGTTGACTTTATAGTAAGCCTTTTTACACAGCTTTTCTTTAATACATTTCTTAAATTTATTGAAAGGCAGTGATAAAAGAGCCTCTGGGATTTTATTAAAGAAGAGTATCCCTTTCCCCAAAAAAGAATTACTAACTTTAGATAGTCTAGTACGGGGAAATTGCAGCCTGCGTTTGTTCCGTGTATTAACATTGTGCGTATGTTCTATTCTAGTAAACTTATCACTATTTTTGTATACATACATAATATTAATACAATAAAATTATAATTACAATAAAATATATTTAGAACTTCTAATTATGTTCATTAGTGACTGCTTTCTCATCTGAAATATACAAATAAAATGTACAATCATTTTACTTTGTGATTACATAATATATGCAATATTAAATGGTATATGTATTTTTCAAATTAAAGAACAATTTCATGAACTTACATGCAATATAAATATCAATAAAAGATATCCAATATAACTAGGATTTACCTCTACTAATTTGCTGATTTTCTTGATATTTTCATATTTATCTGTGTCTATTATGTTATCCTCGCATTGATTCATAGAAAAACTAAAACTCTTAACTTAAAAATATTAACTCTAGTTTATTATAATTACACGAGAACGTAAAAAAAATACAGATAACAAATTAAAACCATTTCGTTAAAACGTCCAAAATATGACATGTGTTTAAAACGGTAGCCATTAAAGATGGCAATAGTTGTACTGAATTATTGCAAACAGCAGCTTTTGAGATCACGCTAAAACATGGCGGAGAAACGCCGTTTTTTCTACACTGCCGAAACATTAATTATTGGCCGTTGGCTACCGAATAGCGTAAGCGTTAATGTGTGTCTTTTCGTAGCACTGTCATGGCGTCGCTTATTGTATCCCGACTCACGCCTTTAGGGCCTAGGCTACCGACTGTCGACACGAGCTGTCATTTTCATACAAATTTAGTTTTCGACTTTCTACATACACTACTGTTAAGCCATCTTGGCTAGACCCCCAGATCATAAAGTGGCAGCTCTTGAGTCGATGCTGAAATGGAGGCCTTCTCGCCTCGTAAAATTTGATTCCGAAAAGTTCAGTATCATTATTCTTTTTAGTAAAATTAAATTTACTTCATTATGACCAATTCTGAGTTTGTATAATATCTCAATACTAATTTACTAACATAAATTGAAGTGATTTAATAATAAAAGATATATTTCTTAAACAAGATGTTTATTTTACCGGACTCATTATTCAATAGTCCATGACCAAAGTAGTGTTGCCAACATAATAATCAAACTTAGAACCAACGTTATAAATGTAGATACATTGCAGATTACTTAATCTTAACACCCCCTCTCAATGTCTACATTTATCTCTACAAAAAATAAAAAACTTAATACAACTTAATAGCCTCTCTATTTCTACTCAACATAGACACTGGAAAACACAAATCAGGCCTAGTGCCCGACACAGCATACATCAAGCAACCTATCATCTGTCTACATAACTTCTCAGTATTTTTATCTATAATATCACTGCTACTATCTAATATTTTTGCATTGAAATTGGGGTCCATAGGGGTCATCATGGGTTTACAATTCAACATGTTAAATCTTTCAAGAATATTTTTCAAATAATCTCTTTGAGTTAGTTTGGTAATACCAGTTTCCAAATTTTGATTTACATGTATTCCGAGAAAATCAGAAACCAGACCCAAATCCTTCATGTCAAATTCCTTATTTAGTACACTTTTGAGCTGTATAATTTCCTTTACATTTGTTCCAAAAATTAATAAATCATCAACATACAATAATATAAAAGTTTTATCATCCCCGTTACACCTTTTATATAAACATGAATCACAGTTAGACTTTACAAAACCTTCCCTTGTTACTACAAAATTAAATTTAACATTCCAACATTTTGGCGAATTTTTAAGCCCATATAAGGATTTGTTTAGCTTAACTATATTATTGTCACCAGAATAGGCTCCTTCTGGCAACCTAATGTAAACATCTTCAGTTATTTACCCATACAAAAATGCCCCAGTTACATCCATTTGGTATATAGGCTTGTTTAATTTAGTTGCTATTACAACAAACACTCTAAAGGTTGATAATCTTGCTACTGGTGCATAAATATCATAATAATCAAACACATCTTCTTGTGCAAACCCTCTAGCCACTAATCTAGCCTTATATTGTTTAACACTACTTACACCTTTCAGTTTAAAAACCCATTTGCTACTCACCACCTTCGTGTTCACTGGTGCATCACAATAGTCCCAAGTATTGTTCGCTTTTAAGGTTTGCAACTCTTTGTCTATAGCTTCACTCCATTTGCTAGCGTCTTTTCTACTCATAGCATCCTTGTATGTCACTGGCTCACTTTCTTCACTGTATACATTATTACACTTGTAGAATGAGGTTTGTTTTCTCACACGTTTGCTTCTTTCATTTAGGACTGGTGTTGTCTCTTCTGATGAAGTTTCTTCATCACTACAAGGTTGATATTCACTTACAGACACACTTTCACACATAGTGATTTCACAGCTATCTTCATCAAAGTTTGTAGGGGTAACTTCTGAGGTTGTTTGAGATTCTTCACCTCCATTATTTTCTTCCTTGGTGTCAAACATTATTATTGGTTCTCCCTTTTTATTCTTTTCTTGTTCCAAGAAAACCACATCTCTCTTTGTATCAACAGTATTCTTCTCCGAGAAATATATTCTATAACCCTTGATGTCTTCCCCGTATCCAACCATCAATCCTTTTTCTGCTTTCTTATCCCATTTCTTTCTTCTTTCTTTTGGTATATGTGCATACACTGGTGTACCAAATATTTTCAATTCATGAATGTCGAAACTTTGATTTGTCCATACTTCAAATGGTGTCTTCTCATTTTGTTTACTCTTCCCCGTCCTATTTAGCACAAATGCTGCTGTATTTACTGCTTCTGCCCATAATTTCTTTGGTAAGTTCTTTGCATACAACATTGTTCTTGCTGCTTCCACCAGGGTTCTATTTCTCTCTCAGCCTTCCCATTTTGTTCAGGTGTATATGGTACTGTTGTTTGGTGTATAATTCCACGTTTTGAAAACACTTCTTTTAACTCCTTGTTGACGAACTCGAGACCGTTGTCAGTTCTAAACATTTTTATCTTATTCCCAGTTACATTTTCTGCCTTATCAATGAAATCTTCAACACAATTCTTTATCTGGTCTTTTGTCTTGACGAAATAGACACAACGGTAGTTTGAATAGTCATCCTTCAGTATAACGAAATATCTGGAGCCACCAACAGACACCTCCTCCATTGGACCGCAGGTGTCAGCATGAATGAGCTCGCAGGTTTTTGTGCTGACATGATCGCTTTTACCAAACGGTAACCGGTGTATTTTACCCTTCAAGCAGCTCTCACATACACAAGAGGTTAGTTCTGTGTTTATGTCCTTTTGCTGCAATACTTTTCTCACATGATCGAAATTCTGATGTGCTAATTTTTCGTGCCACTCATTTAAATCATTGTTTACTATTTTAGCGACGCTCGCCACCTCGCATTTATAGCGTAAAACCATGTAATAAGAGTTCCCAACACGTTTTGCAATCGCACAAACACTATCGTTTTTGTAAAACTTGCACGAACCGTCATCTGTCATCATAACGTATCCTTTGTCTATGGCACGATTTACAGAGAACAAATTGGTTTTCAATTCCGGAACGAACAAAACGCCATCTAACGTAGTGTCAATCCATTCAGTGCCATTATGCACTTGCACCGCCATCTGTCCGCAGCCCAACACACTTATCGCCGCTCCATTACCCACGATAACGGATCTTTGAGAATCACTTGAAAAACTTGAATAAGACATAAATAAAGCACGGTCGTAACACATATGTTCACTTGCCCCAGAGTCCACCAGCCACTTGGATTCTAGATTTTGTCCACTCGACACAACAAATGCATTACTTTCTTTACTCTTTTTACTATTCTTATTGTCTTTTGTCATTATTTTATTCTTCCTGAACCAGCACTGCGCTTTACAATGTCCAGCTTTGCCACAATAAAAACAGTTATTATTGTTCATTTTTTCTTCACTGTTATTTTTATTGTTCTTACTTCTACACTCACTTTGAACATGTCCAAGCCTCCCACAGTTGAAACATTTTACACCACTCCTGTTCCGGGCAACAAATGCAGATGATGATGCCTGCTCTGGATCATAATTCTTCTCCTTCACCCTTTCTTCTTCAACTAACAACCTGGCCACTAAATTGTCAAATGTTTGCTTATGGTCAGGTGCAGACTCCCACGCTGAGACAAAATGTTTGTATTGGTCCGGCAGAGACATTAATATTTTTGTTATAATAAGCTTGTCGGAGATCTCTTCACCCAATTGCTTTAACTTGTTTTGCATTTCTTGAATCCTTGACAAAAATACTGACATCTCAGTCCCCGCTTCATATTTATATTGAAAAAATCTCTGCTGTACAATATGAATACTGGTCTCTGACTTTTGCTCGAATACACTTTGTAGTTTTGTCCACATGTCAGCCGAGGTTGTACAAGAAATGATGTGTAGCATAACATCTTCGCTCATTCTTGTCACCAACAACGTTTGAGCTTTAGCATCCTTTGCTTCCCAGGCAGCTTTTTGACCAGCTTCCTCTGGTTTTAAAATTGTTCCTTCGACTATGTCCAGCCAACCATAACCTCGCAAGAGTACGGTTGTTTGAAATTTCCAGATGTTCCAGTTTCTGGAGCCTTCCAGCTTAATAACACTGCTGTTGTTGCTTCCCTCCATCTTGCCTTCCTGCCTTGACCTGCTAGGGCAAGTATTCTTCCTTCTCGACGGGTACGCGTGTCGCGTTGTTAGGTACACTTAACCTTACTTTTCTTCACGCCGATATTTTAACGCCGATATTAACATTTGGCGCATATTATTAAATCACAGTTACGGTTTCGTGTCTAGGCGCACCTGGGCCCATAACCTGAAGTGATTTAATAATAAAAGATATATTTCTTAAACAAGATGTTTATTTTACCGGACTCATTATTCAAAAGTCAATGACCAAAGTAGTGTTGCCAACATAATAATCAAACTTAGAACCAACGTTATAAATGTAGATACATTGCAGATTACTTAATCTTAACATAAATACATTGATTTATCGATTTACTGTAATTTCACTATGGCAATTTGTCAGTTAGAATTTTTCAGGTGTTCTTACTCAACAAGCTTCCAACTGATTTGCAATTATATGTAAAAGTAATGTTATGTATAATTTTATGTAATTTATGTTAATCGTTACATATGTGATCATGGTAAAATTAACATCATAAAGCAACTCAAAGCGTAACGCCGATATCAGCCTGTCAAAGTCTTAAATCGATCTACCCGTTCGATTCTAACGCAAACCAGTACCTATAAAGGGTCCTATATAGAACCCTGTTGCACTGAGGCGATGACAACTAAAGCTGTGTAGTGGAATTCCAATATTTTTTACAGATACAATATAAAGTATCAAAGGTCTTTCATCTTCTATTTATATAATAAATGTTAAACGTTTATCTTATTTATTGATTTAAATAAATATAATAAAATCTAGACTGAAAGTTATTATTGGATGCAAATGCAAAATAAGGCGTATAAATAAATCATATGTCGTACATATGGAAAGTTTGTTAAAATTCCTTTAACGGTTTCATACCCTATCAATTAATTTCTAAGAAAAACTAAGGGCAGCGTGAAGTAGTATAATTAATGATTTTTTCCAAATATTATAAAATTTAAAATTATAGCCGAAATTATTTCAATATACAAGTATTCTTTGAAATTATATTGTTCTGTTAATTAGGTAGATGTGAATGTTAGATTGTGTTTATTCAATTGTATTTGTCCGATAATAATAAAATTACAAATTAATTTTATAATTACCATCTTTTATAATATTATTATACTATAATATTATAGTTTTATTTAGTTAAGGAGCTAAGCATTAGAGGGCGTGGCATAATTTTGATACAATTTTTTTTTCCAGAATCTTGTCTGTGGCACTTGGCTCTGAAATGAAAGCGTCATTAATTATTGAAGTGGGTTATCGACTTTCGCCGTTCGCGGTACCATTTTGTTTTTTGGTGATTCTGTTTTTTCGTTTTTGTCATAATATGTAGTATAAATTTTCTTCACCATTGCCAAATTCAGACTGGTTGTTATAAATTTGAAAAGCAATGCAGTCTATTGTGTGGTATTGTTATTTGTTACCGTATGTGTCTAAATCTTAGAATTGGTCTGAATTGGGTAAAACTAGTTTAAAATTTAAATGTTGGCTTGTGAAAGCTCTACGAGGCTTTATCTCAGTGATTGGTTGAGTCCGATTTAGACTCAAAATGTCTCTTCAAAGTTTTGTATATTTGGTTCTAATCAAATAGTTTTTTTGCATATGCATAAATATTTTTGTTGTAGATGATCCTTTGAATGAGTATGAGTTCACTGAAATAATTGTGATTGTCCTTTGTTTTAAGTTATTTGGAGTTTAATTTAAATGTTAAAATCTCAATGGTAAAAAATATTTAACCCAAGCAAACAAATGCAAAGAATTGCCTTTTACTTTATTGAAATACTGCCCACAGAACTGTCCATTGAATCTACTCCCGTTTCTAGGTTGTGGTCTACGTTTATTATATTTTTGTACTGTATGTCGACATGAAAATGGCATGTTTTCTTTATTGCTTTCATCATATTATCTTGTAACAGTAGATACTAGATCTTACACATGTAGATAAAAGTGTAACCACTTTGTTGTCCTTTCACCACGGAATCATGAATTCCTTTTTTACTGGCAATGTTGACTTTGGGATGTAATTTTGTTGTGCTGTACCCACAGTGTATAGGTACCAACCTTTTCTAAAAAAATGCCAATGAAGTCAAGAAATTGTCAATGCAAACGAATTACAATGATTCTTGTTGCTCCAATATCAAGATCTCCCATTTAATCTCTAATCAATTTTGTTGGCCAGAATAGTTCTCAACTTTGTAGGCTAAGCCAGATAAATCACAGAAGACATTGAGTTTGAACCCTATATATAACCCTATCTATGGGGTTCATTTGGAAGCGGCACACATCTGTTCGTCAACTGAGAGTCTCTGTTCTATTTGTATGCGGGAAAAGTTCTCATTGAGATCTTCAATTACTAGATGTATTTTAAACAACTATCAATCATGTTTAGAATGGCCTACTGGTTTGTGATTCATTATTTTGGAAATGCAAAGAAAGTTTAAAATTTTGAAACTTATTGACAGGCATTAAAGATGAAATGAGACCATATGAAAATACTGAAAAACTTTCATGTCAGATAAATTATAAACAACTGAATTATAAAGGTCTTGTTTAGTACTGTATATACTGGTTTGATATACTATTTTCTATATAAAAACTTCATTTACGAAGTACATGAAGCACAGATACTGAGTCTCTTTTTCAGATACATATTTGAGTATATTTATATAATATATATATTTTTTTTAATGTTTTTTATGTAGGTTAATTGGTGTGGGTATAAATGTTGTGTCGTTCTATCGAATTAGTAATTACTGTAATGATAGAATAATGATATGGAATAAATAAATAAATAAAAAATAAATAAATATTATGGATATTGGGATATTCCCAAGAAAACAACTTTATCCAGATCATAGTTGAATAATCTTCTAGGAATATTACCACTGGGAATACTGTCAGGATCTTATTGCACTTCCATGTGTTTTGAACAAGGGGTGGATCATGCACACCACCTTCCTCATCCTCTTAATTTCCACCTACATCTTGTAATTTACCTGCAAGTTCTTCTCTAGTATAACAAGCATCAGAATTCACAACATCCGGTCCATCTTTTGATAACCATCCATCTTACAGTTGCGCTAAGTAAAATTCTATACTATCGGGGGAATGTATTTTATTTATTTTTTTTTACACAACGTTTGTAAGGACCTGCA